TCGTATGCCTCGAGCCTCGTAAGTCATCGTAGAATTGATTGACTGTTAGCAAATTACGACATCGCCAAATTGATTCACAAAGTTAAAGATGTCTTCTGAAATCCGTCGTGCCTCTCTTAATTAATTTAGTTCTGCTTTCGCTTATCTGCCAGCCGACCGATGTTTGCCTCCTCATCTTGAATCGGAAAAGGCCAATCTATTAACTAAATAGATTTCGCCTCATAGGTAATCTGACAGGATTCATTTTCCGGTCACCGATCCAGTGTCGTCCTTCTGTACATTTCTGTCGATCTTTCTTGCGGATGGTTTACTTATTGGCACAACCGGACTCCACAGGTAGCAGGTAAAATCTTATGCAGAATGACGCGTAAATGCTGCACATTAGGGATGTGCTAAAAGTAAGGACACGGCGATTCCGTTAATTTCTTAATGAGCACCCGGTTAAGAAAATCGATCAACTAAAAAACAGAAGTTTAAAGTACTTAGGTAATTTCAGCAAACACTAACTGAATGGAAAGTGGAAGAAATTTGTTCAGATCACCACGTCACGTGATCTTTGTCAACAGAACACATCGATTTTAATCGCATGGATAGAAAGCACTCAGTTTCGATGAAAAACTATTTTAATGCACTCTTGCACTTTACTTTTGGGAATTCAGCGCATTACGTATCAACGGGTAACAACGCAAGCTACATGAAAAACTTAAACTCTGTTGGATCCATTTTCTGAAAGATGGCTTAACCGTCTGCTCTTTGATACAAAATTTTTATCAAGGCAGAGCAAAGATTAAACAACTTTCATTAATACCTGCACATTACCCTTAAAGATACGGTATTCATAAAGAATTAAAATCAGCTACGTTAGTCATGGGGGCTTCCACTGAATAGGCATGGACTTCACGGCTGATATTATAAATCCGTCTTTACTAAAAGTGATTATCTACTGATATCTGTTACATGAAGGAATCATCAATATGCAATCAATATATAAATAATCAAAAAAGTTTCCTTCTTAAATTAGAAGAAATAGCGAGGAAAGCTAGCACAGACTAGGATTTCAGCAGTCGCTGACCCGTTGATATAACTATATGCATATAATGCCAAACGGCAAACAAGATCCATAAAAATTATACAGCCAGTATTGGAAGAAAACAGCAGATGGGAAGTTACTGTAAATAAATATCCCACTGTATGCGTTAAAGTGAAAGGATCGATCGGGGCAGATTCCGCTTTTCTTCTTCCTCTTTATACAGAGTCCGGTCCACTTGCGGGATCACATATATACTGTATGTTTCATATGTTTGCAAGTATGCAAGTACTGAAACCTTCTGAAATGAGACCTAAAAGTGTATTTTGAAGGAATCCGGTTCAACGAATGGCGAGGATAGGTTGGAATGGATTTACTAAGCTCTAAACAACAAATCTTGGAATCTGATCTACCACGATGTATACGACTTTCATATAAGACAGCGGACAGGGTCTGCTGAAAATTTTAAAATGATGACAATAATTGGTCGCAGATCTCAGTAGAACTTCCAGAACAATAGATCTTAAAATCTTATCTACCAATGTATATAACATTCGTATAGGACAGCTGACCTGCTTTTTCGACAATTTCAGGTCTGATCGAGTTGTGTGTAGGTCCACTTTAAGACGGAGGAAGTACATTGGGAAAAAATACAATTGAAGGAAACAAGTAGGTACTATGAAACAGTTTCCTGACTCATTAGGGGGGGGGGCTTGAAATAAAGTTT